GACCCGGCCCAGCGGAGGCCTGGTACATGGTGGCGTGACCGCCACGGGGCGGGGAGGGGGGCTGCTGCAGCGCGAGGCTGCACGGGCGGCTGCAGAGGCCTGGGCGCTGGAGCCAGCCAGACCTGGGCTCCTAGCACAGAACTGCCGAACTTGCACCGTGCTGTGCCTCAGTTTCCCCATCTGTAAAATGGGAACAGTCGCGTTGCCTCCCCGGTGGGGTGTTGAGAAGACTGATCAAGGTCTTTCAGGATGGTCTATTTTTACAGTGGTCCTTGTGGGTGTCACTAAATCCAGGGGCTGACACTTAGCCGGAGCTTAGTGAATGTTACTGGTATGTCACAGACTCACCCGTTATTATCATTATATTTTTTAAATAATTATTTTATTTCATTTTATTCATTTTTTTGGTGAGATTGTTGCTATAGGGCACGCGTGGTCGCTAGAGAGACAGACAGACAGAAAGCACGAAATTACCCCCCCAGGAGGGGTGGCTACGCTGCAGTCCCTTCTCCTCCATTCTCTTCTTGGGATTTTGGGCATGCACACACACATGCTCCTGGTCTGAGTTTTAAGCCGCTGGGCCTGGGACTTGAACCATGGTCGACTACATAGGAGTCCAGCAACGTAACCATTATGCCATCTGCTGGTCCCCATCATCATTCTTTAAATTTAACCAGAGGGAGGTGGTGAATAAAACCACTGGATTCCTACATGGCTGACCATGGTTCAAGTCCTGCCCTGGAGGCTTGCTTTTCCTCTTTCCATTTCCCTCCCTCTCTCTCTGTCTAGTCAAATTGAAAAATAAAAACAAGGGACCAGCAGATGGCACAATGGCTACGTTGCTGGACTCCCATGTAGTCGACTGCGGTTCGAGTCCTGGACCTGGTGGCTTAAACTCACATCGGGCGCGTGTGCGTGCGTGCCCAAGATCCCGAGAGGAGAATAGAGGAGAAGAGATTGCGGCGTAGCCTTCCCCCCCAGAGGGTGATTTCTTCCTTTCTGTCTCTCTGTCTGTCTGTCTTTCTGGCAAGTGCACGTGCCCTATAGCAAAAACCTCTCCCAAAAAAGGAAAAATAATACAAATAGAATTAAATAAATAAATATATGTGTTTAAATGTAACCAGAGAGAGACAGAGACAGACACAGAGGGAAAGTGAGAAAGGAAGCCACCAGGTCCAGGACTAGAACCCTGATTGGCCATGTGGGAATCCAGCACTTTAACCACCACACCACCTGCTGGCCCCTATTTTTATTATTTTCTCACCAGAAAGAAAGAAAGGAAGAGAGATGGCCACTCTGCAGTCCCTTCTCTTTCATTCTCCTCTTGGGATTTTGGGCATGGATGCGTTTTCACGCCGCCAGGTCAGGGATCTGAACCAGGCAGTCGGCCATGTGGGATCCAGTTGCTTTACCCACCACACCAATGGCTGCCCCAAAGACAGTATTTGTGTATTGCCCCCCTCCCCCCATGTCAGCTCCACCGAGGCAGGACTTTGTATCTGTCACTGTCACGTCCCAGGGACCTGTTTGTCAGTGTCACATGCAGCCGTGCAGGATGTAGGGGGGTGGACGGCGAGCGGGTGACCCAGCCCTCAGTGACCACAGCACACACACAGGCTGCTTATAAAAACCACTTTAAATTAAAAAAAGGTATAAGATGTCAGTGCATGCAGACGGGAGCAGGTGGACAGAGCGAGAGGGCAGGGCCCCAGCACAGTGCGGTCAGCCCACCGCCTCGCGGGCAGAGGAGCGGAGACTCCCAGCAAGGCCCAGGCAGCCAGGCCCCGGGTGCTGCTTCCTCGGGTGTGGCTCTGGGTCCCACGAGCTCAGAGATCTGTCTTCCGGAAACTTGCTCTGTTCAAGGAGTTTCTGTGGAGGGACGGGATAAATGGCCTTGGCCACAGGGGTCCCCTGACTTCCGCAGGGTGCCCCAGCCTACCTCCTGCTTTCCCATCCAACCTGATGGGTCCAGGAGATGGTCAGATTCTCTCGTGACCAACGACAGGAAGTACGAATCACTCCCATTTTTTTTTTTTTCCCCTAAGAGAGGTTTTTGCTATAGGCCACGTGCGCTGGCCAGGGAGACAGAGAGCCATTGAGATAGAAAGCGAGATATCACCCTCCGGGGGGCATGGCCACACTGCAATCCCTTCTCCTCCATTCTCCTCTCGGGATCTTGGGCATGCACGCACGTGTGCCCGGCGTGAGTTTAAGCCACCGGGTCCGGGACTCGAACCATGGTCAACTATGTGGGAGTGCAGTGACACAGAACCATGATGTCATGTGCTGGTCCTGTGAATCATTCCCATTCAACAGCTAGGAAAGCGGAGGCTCTGGAGGGGGAGGTCACATGACTGGGAGGTCTGCCCGGGGACCGCCCTAAACTCATACACGTGGACAGGGGACTTAGAGGCCCGTGCAGAGCTGTGTTGCTGTGTCAGTGTGTTGTGTGTGTTGTGTCTGTCTGTGTGTAGAGTGGGGGCGTGGGGTGGCCGGGCACCTGAGGCTGGCCAGGGCGGGGGCCTGCAGCTGGGGCAGGCGCTGGCTGAGCAGGGGCTGCAGGGCTTCCCGTAGGCGGCAGTAGTTCCGTTCCAGCTCCCGGTGGTACTCCTTCTGGTCTGGCCCAATCAGGGCCTTGTTCTTGCGCAGTGCATCCTCACACCTGAGGGCCAGAGGGCAGGGACCCTCAGGAGCTGGCCCTCGAGCAAGACCAGCCCCGGGGGAGTCCTTGAGGTGGGGCCAGGCATGCAGAGAGACCCCCATTGGGGATCGAGCCAGCGACATAATGGGGGTCGGGTAGGGAGATGGGCCCTTTTTTTTTTTTTGTAGAAGTTTTTGCCTCAGGGAGTGTGTGCTCTCCCAAGAGAGAGAGAGACAGAGACAGTGAGCAGGAAAGCGAGAAATCACCCCCCAGGGGGATGGCCACACCGCAATCCCTTCTCCTTCATTCTCCTCTCGGGACCTTGGGCACGCATGCACACGCGCCTGGCGTGAGTTTCAAGCCACTGGGTCCCGGACTCGAACTGCAGTCGGCCCCATGGCAATCCAGTGACATAACAGCTACGCTTTCTGCTTGTCCCAGGAGAGGGGACTTAACAGGAATCGGGGCAGGGGCAGATGCACAGGGAGACCGGGCAGACAGCATGTTGTATGAGGGGTGGGGGCTGGTTGAGCCGCAGTTTGTTGTGGTGCCGGAAGAGTTTGGGGTCTTCCGGGATCTCTGCCAGGAACACCTGTGCCACCTCCAGGGGACCCTGCGGGTGGGAGGGACTCGTGAAGTGGCTGCAGCTCCCCGGGGTCGCCCCACCTGCCGTGCCTGGTTCACGGTGGGCCCCACGGAGCCCTGCAGCACCATCTGCAGCATCTTGGCGTCGGACGGGTCCTGCTCGGTGGCGAAGGCCAGCTCCCGGGTCTTCTTCTGCATGTCCTCGATGGCCACCTCCACCGGGGTCAGCACCGTCTGTGGGGTGGGGTGTCCTGACCCAGGGGCCCGCAGGCCCTCCGCAGCCTCACCTGAGGCTGGAGGTTGGGGTGCCCCTGCCTCCCCACCTTGGTTCTGGGGCACCTGTGGCTCTTCCAGGGTCTGGGGTAATCATGCTTCTCTTCTCTGGGCTTGGGGTCCCCCTACCTCCTATTCCTGGGTCTGACACCCCCTATGTCTCCTCCTCGGGTCTGACGTCCCCCCCCCCCTCCCCTCTCTGTGTCTGACGCTTCCCCCAATCTCCCCTCCACGGCCCCGATGCTCCCTCTCCCACTTCTTTCCCTGGGTCTTAGGTCCCCCCACCTCCCCAGTGGGGTAGAGGAAGAGTGTAGGAAAGGAAATTTGGGACCCGGGGTCCGAGGTCCCCCCTCCCACCCTCCCCAGGGTCTGAGGTCCCCCCACCCACCTCCCCGGGTCCTCCGTCCCCGCCGCCCCGCCGGCTCACCTCCTCCCGGTGGCACACGCGGATGCGGGTCTTGATGTAGGGGAAGGCGTGGTCGGTGCTGAGCAGCGTCTTGCGCTTGTGCTGCTCCGGCAGCTCCCCGTGCGCGCGGCCGTCGGGCGTGAAGGGCGTGCAGAACAGGAAGGTGCGCAGCCCGTAGTTGCGGTCGAAGTAGGTCACGCGGTCCTTGAGCTCGTAGGTGTCGAAGTGAGGCTCCACGTAGGTGATCTGGATGTAGGCCTGGGGTACGGGCAGGGTCAGGGCCCCCCAGCCCGGCCCACAGCGGGGTCCCCCAGCCCGGCAGACAGGGGCTTGGACGCTCTGGTCTGGGGGCTTTGGAGCTCCGGTGCCCTGGGCTCCCTAAGTCTGGACCGAATCCCAGGAGCGGGATTTCAGGTCCCCTGGGGGAGACGTGCGTAGCTTCCTGGGGAAATAGTATTCCGTTTGCTTTTGCCATAGGGCGTGTGTGCTCGCTGGAGAGGGACCGAGGGGGGCAAGTAAGAAATTGGGGGGCCGTCCCCCTGGGGCAGTGATTTCTCATTTTCTGTCTCTCTCTGTCTTTCTGGAGAGCCCACATGTCCTATAGCAAAAACCTCTCAAAAAAAAAAAAAGAAAAGAAAAGAAAAGATAGGGGCCAGCAGGTGGCGTGGTGGCTAAGGCGCTGGACACTCCCACATGGCCATCCATGGTTCAAGTCCCGGACCTGGTGGCTTGCCTTCTCTTGCTTTCTCTCTCTCTCTGTCCCTCTCTGGTCAAATTAAAATAAATAGATAAAATAATTCTTTAAAAGAAAAGAAAAGAAAGAAAAAGAAGAAATCACCCCAGGGGGATAGCCAGCCAGTCCCTTCTCCTTCAATCTCCTCTCTGGATTTTGGGCACACATGCATATGCACTGGGTGTAATTTTCAAGGTGCCAGGTCTGGGGGTCGAACCGTGGTCGGCCATGGGGGAGTCCAGCGCCTTAGCCACTGAGCTGGCCCCCAGACACAGGATGGGAGGGTCCCTAGGAGCTACTGCAGTCCGCACTCCGTAGCCACAGACTGTGTCTCCATTCTTCATCCCACCACATATTGAAAATATTTGGAGGAAAAATTGGTTGCATCTGCAGGGAACACGCAGAGACTTTGGTCCTTGTCATTGTTCCTTGACTGATGGCTGACAACAACTGTTTACATGGTGTTGGGAATTACAATTAATCCCAAGATGATGTAAAGTGCCCCAGAGGAGGTCAGCCTGTGGCACCGTGGTTAAGGACGCTGCATCCCACATGGCCGACTCCACACTTCAAGTCCTGGGCCTGCTAGAGACAGCAGGTGGCATGGTGGGTAAGGCGCTGGATCCCACATGGACAACTCCACAGTTCAAGGCCCGGGTCCTGCTCTAGCCTAAAAATCACACCAAGTGTGTGTGTGCGTGCATGGCCAAAACCCAGAGAGGAGAATGAGGGAGAAGGGATTGCGGCGTGGCCATCGCCGTGGTGGGGAATTTTCCACTTTCCATTTCTTTGTGTCTCTCTGGCAAGTGTACACATCCTATGATAAACAGACAAACAAAACTAAAATAAAACTAAAATACACCAAAAAAAATCCCCAAAGGAGGGAGGGATGGAGAAGGGATTGCGGCGTGACCATTCCCTTTGGGGATGCTTTTTCTCTCTCCCTCTCCCTGTCTCTCTCTGGTAAACACACACTGGCAAAGATAAACAAAAACAAAAACATACGTAAGAGTATGTGTGTACGACCCATGCCGGTCCTTCATCATCCTATGGAAGGAGATTGGACATCTGGGGATTTGGGTATCCTCAGGGGTCCTGCCATCAATCCTCCGTGGATACCCAGGGACGACTGTACATGGAATCCCCCTGAATATAAGATTTTCAGGGTGGGGTCGGCAGGTGGCGTGGTGGTTAAAGTGCTGGACTCTCACATGGCCAACGAAGGTTCGAGTCCTGGACCTTGTGGCTTGCTTTCTCACTTTCCTTTTCTCTCTCTCTCTCTGGTCACATTAAAAAAATAAATAATTTAGGGCTGGCAGGTGGCATGGTGGTTAAGGCGCTGGATTCCCACGTGGCCCACTGTGGTTCGAGTCCCCAACTTGGTGGCTTGCTTTGTCACTTTCCCCCTCTTTCTCTCTCTCTGGTTAAATGAAGAGTCATCAGAAATAAAATTTAAAAAATAAATGATTCTAAAAGTATAACAAATAAAATGATATAAATAATTCTAAAAAGAAAAAAAAAATATATTTTCAGGGGCTAGTGGGGAGACCCACCTTCTGCGGGTCCAGCTTAGACTTGTCTACGGGGTTGGAGTCTTTGATGATCTGCACTACGTCGTCCCCAAACCGCTCCGTATAGAACTCCTGGGGACGAGAGGCTGATCAGGGCTGCCGGTGGGGGTGCTGTACCCGGGGGGGTGCCGGTCCCGCGGTTGGCCCCGTGCCCGCCCACCATCCCAGCTCCCGCCGTGCCTCCAGGCGGTGCGAGATCTCTGCCAGCTTGGTGATGGACGGCTCCTTGTACACGAACTCCTGCTCGTCCAGGTCTCCGAAGCGGGCGCCGTAGAACCCCACGCGGAAATACGTCCCGAATACACGCTGGGGCTGCGGGAACGGGTGCTTGGAGCCCAAGAGGCCCCTCTGGAGGTCTCCCTGCCCCAGAGACGGGTGTCCTCTGGCCCCACGAGAAGCCCCAACATGGGGGAGAGGAGGGCAGGGAAAGGAAAACTCGGGGGCGGCAGGTGGCATGGTGGTTAAGGTGCTGGACTCCTATATATGGCCGACCGAGGTTCGAGTCCTGCACCTGGCAGGTTGCTTTCTGTCTCTCTCTCTCTCCTTCTCTCACTCTGTCACTCTCTGTTCAAATTAAACTAAATAAAGTGAAATAAGATAATTCTAAAAGGAAATAAGGGGACATTGATACGGAGCGTGGACCCAGGCCAAAGGCCATATCCTGGTTTTTCTCTCCTGGTTTTTCCCTCCCTGGCCCCTCTTGTTCTCCTCCATCTCCACCCCAGAGCTTGTCCTAAGTCCTTCTTCACAATCTGGATCCCCAAATGCAATGGGGACGAGGCGGGTGTGCGTGCACAGTGGGTGGCCCATAAATACTCGTACGGGGGAGGGCAGAGATGGCTGCTTTTCACGGAGGACAGGGCTTGCCCCCCCTTCTGGAAATTCCCCTCCCACCCCAAGAACGTGCCCCCCCACTGGAAAGGAAGTGGGGTGAGTCCCAAGTGCACTCACCATGTCAGATCCGGCAGGGTGGGCAGGCCCGGGGGCGGGTGAGGGGGGCAGAGAGACAGAGTCATGGGAGGGGGGGTCCCAGGTCAGAGCCCCCACCCCCAGGGCCCTGGTCCTGCTGCCCCAGGAGAACCACGCGATGGGACCGAGACCAGGGATTCAGGGAGGGAGGGGACCTGCCTGCCCCACCCGGCTCCCACCCGGGTCCCCAGCCCCCCTGCCTGCCTGAGGATCGGCCAGAAAATTCTCCCCAAACTAGGAGATGCCTAAAAATAGGCCCAAGTAGGGAAGAGGGGGGAAGGAGGGTGGTGGGGTGGGAAGCATTAATCAGAGATGGGGCAGAGATACAGAAACTAAGAGAGACAGAGTTATCAAAATCAAGAACCACAGCGATAGGGAGAGAGACAAGAGATAGGGAGAGATGGAGAGAAAGAGACCAAGAGAGAGGAAGAGGGCCCCCTCACCCCTCCCTCGACCCCACCCCGGCAGTGACCGGGCGAGCCCTGCCCGAGGGAGGGGTGTCTTAATCAGAGATGGGGCAGAGATACAGAAACTAAGAGAGACAGAGTTATCAAAATCAAGAACCACAGCGATAGGGAGAGAGACAAGAGATAGGGAGAGATGGAGAGAAAGAGACCAAGAGAGAGGAAGAGGGCCCCCTCACCCCTCCCTCGACCCCACCCCGGCAGTGACCGGGCGAGCCCTGCCCGAGGGAGGGGTGTCTCTGGAGAGCTCCCAGCTGGGTGAGTCACAGGCTGCCCTCGAGATCCGGGGGCGGGCGGAGGTGGGGGGGCAGCTGAGTGGGGGTGCGTCATTGCCCAGGGAGCCTGGGTCCCCAGTGGGGCAGCCACACTCCTCCGGCGCCCCCTGGTGGTCTCTGGTCACTGCTGCTCATTCAAGGGGGTCCCACAGGCTCGCGCGGCCTTAAGACT